CTACATCACCCCCTTCCTAGTGGTAACGATATTGAGGAAGTAGCGACCTATGAAGGAGTGGATATGCCGGATGATGTTGATATTTGGCTGCTCTCCGTTTTTGCGGCTCGGTCCTAGTCTCTCCTTCTGCGGTCAGATACCCAGGGCCGGCATGCATCTTTATTTTGGAGGATTATGTGGCTGCGGTCGGTGGAGACGCTTTTGTGGCTACGTGTCGTATGCGAGGCTTGCTTAGTTTTTTTTGTTGTGGACCCCGAGACGTGATGCCTGCATACGCGCACGTTTTTCCTCTGCGACCGTCTGCATTCGGCGGAGGCGCTGTTTGCGCGGACCTATTTGGCATCTTTTTCTCTACGACCGTCTGCATCCGGCGGAGGTGCTGCATGTGTATTAATTGGCGTATCTCCACAGCGACCGACTCATATGCCGTGGCCAATTTATCGTTGTGTGGCATCATCCTTCCTCCTTCCTTCCTTCCTCGATGGGCGTCTTGTGTCCTTCCTGATGTTGTTCCTGTGTCGCTGCCTTGAATTTGTCCGGTGCCAGCCTACGAGGTGGTTCTGCACATGGTCTACCTGTGGTGGTTATGTGATGACGTACCTTATGTTTCGGTGGTTCATGTCCTTGTGTAGGTCTTGTCACGTCTATAAATTGTCTCAATAACGTGTTGTATTTTTCGTATAGTCCGTTTCTTATTGTTGAAATTGATTGTTGGGTGGTCGTGCTTATTTCTCCTACCGTGTGGATGTTGGTGTAGTCGTCCATAATTCTTTTATTCCTCAGGTCTACCAGAAGACCGTGATGTTTCAGAAAATTGGCGCCAATTATCGGTTGCTTAACCTTCGCGACGGTAAACTTCCAGGTAAATGGTCGTCGCAGTCCGAGGTCCAGAGTGAGCGTTGTTTCGCCGAAGGTTGGAATCGGTGACCGCCCGACGTGATAGGAACACGCAAACTAACTCAACGGTGCAACAAAAAGGAAAGTCGCCATGTTTCCATGGGTTATCGGCGCCGCGTGTGGCGTCTGATCTCCATTACCTTGTCTGCTATTTGTGCCAGCTTCGTTAAGGTCAGTTTGCGTGTTCCTATCACGTCGGGGTCACCAGCTGAAGGGATAGAAAATGGCGATGATAATGCGAGGATAATGTAGGAAGTGATGATGTGGGTAAGGTGAGGAAAGGTTGTGGCGTTTCGTCTCAGAGTCGCTGCCTAGACTTATCAGTGGGAGACTTGATGGCAGCGACTCCTTTAACCCCAGACGCTTGTTGTTGTAACTATTCGCTAGGCTGGATGGCACCCATCCCTAGGCGGTTCCGCACTCTGCTTAAACATCGAATATCGGTTGACTTCGACGCTAGGCGCACAGCCACTTGCGGCTTGTGCAAGTTGGTGTTCGAAACTCGTACTCGAGGAACTATAGGTCGCTACAGACAAGGAGCGCATCAATGTACGACGAAGACAGCGACAGATTTTTAATTCTTTCGTTTCGCCGCGGAGTGGCGCTAGTCTTCAAAAATGTGTAGTGATTATGATAATTTAAATTTACATCGCAATACTACAAATAAATAATAACTCCGTAATTAATTTTAGTTGTTTATATAAAAATATTATCAATATAACAAAATATATATAATTACTAATAACTTAATGAAGATTACATAATGAAAGTTAAATAATAACGAATGAAGAATTTCTACTATGGCTACAATACATATAAGTGTCAGTAAACATTTCCATGGTGATAATAAAATTAATAGCTATTTTTTAAATATTCTATTGTTTATATTAAATACATACATCTCGACGGAACGATTTAATGAACATAGATATCGTTGATCTAAATACTTCAATGTAGAGGTCGCTACAAGTGACTAAATTTTTATTTACAAAAGAAAAGAAAAAGAAAATTAATTTGCAAATTCTTCCAGTTGCGTCACTGTTTCTGGAGTCCTGTATTTTCCCTCCGTGTACCGTTCGACCTTGTTGTTAGGAACAGTTAATAAATAAAAATGTTTATTTCTACTCATTGATCAGACAAGGACAGCAATAGATTTTAGTTCCATCGGTTCACCGCTACGTGATGCTAGCATTTCAGTGTCCACAAATCGATTGAATTTTCATTTGCAAAAGAAAAACTAATTGAGAGGATTGATTTATGAATCTTTGCAACGTCCTCGTTTTAAAAGCCCACGCTTCATTTCCACGTTTCACCTGGGCCGTAAAAAATGCGCAAACGGAAATGCAGGAATTTCGTTCGATAGATCGAGAGACTGGCGCGAAAGATATTTCATTCAAAATAAAATTTCAGGCAAACCGAGTCGGATATTTGAATTGGAATCGCTGGTGAACATAATTGATGGAGTGTGGAAAAAGTTTCATCTAGTTTTGACACGTTAGGGAGGATTTACGTAATGAATGCACTCGTTACTTTGAATTAATTTATCAACTGTTTTGCATGCAACGTACAGAATAGACCTTTAACGAACAGCTTTCAAAATTATATAGAATTACAGTGTGATATGTATGTAAAATTTTATAAATACATTTACAATACACCTTTAACAAGTAATTCTTAGTTCCTATATACTAATTACGCATCGTTGAACCTATACACGTAATAATTACCTTTACGTTAAGCAAGTTTTCTCTTTTTCGGAAATATAACGCAACAGAAGGATTGAACTGTCTGAAAGTATATAAGATGCTGGACGAAATTGTAAAAACGACAAAAAGATCTTAATCTCCGACGTGTACGTAACTTGATTACCAGGTCCTCTTCACCGAGAGTACATTTTCGTCCCAGATAAAGTGAATTATTTCCCCACTCCCTGTACAATTTAGAGTCCGGAAACGTTGGCGAGGATGAAGCAAGAACAGAGCGAGGAGCTGGATCGGTTTGCTTGTCGACACGTTGCTCGAGGGAAGAGGCTGGCCAAGGGAGACGACGAGAGCGTCGAAGAAGAAAGGGTGGAACGAGAGAGGAGAAGGAGACGACGCGACAGCGAGAAAGAAGACGAGAGCCAGGCGGCAACAGTGAAAGCCGTCGGTGACGATCCGCAGATGGCCAGGTTGTACGTCGAGTGGTTGAAGAATCGTAGGAAACGCGCGACGACCGCCGCCGCTCTCAAGTCCCAGATGCAGAAGGCGTTGCTCTCCGAGCTGTGGGAGCGAATGGCGGCGAGAGAGGAGAGAACGTTGGACGAGGCGATCGCCAGGCGCGTGCTGGACCAGTCGAGGTACGAGAAGCAGATCGTGACGAAGCTGTGCGAGGTGCGCGAGCAGAAGAACGTGATGGCGGAGAACCAGAAGGTGGTGAAGGACATCACCCTGGAGGCGGAGGAGCTGGAGCACCGGGCGAGCTACGAGCGTGCACAGGACTCGAGAAGCAAGCGGCAGAAGGAGATCGAGACCGAGTGCGCGAGAGTGTGCGAGCTGCGGCGGAGGCTTCGCCTGGCGAAGATACGAAAGATACGCGAGAGACACTGGACGATCTGCAGAGATGTGGTCGACGACCTGGCGACCATCGCGTTGAACGTTGGCGACCATCGACGAGTGAACGACGGCTACGTGCCGCTCACGCTGCTCAGCGAGTGGAAGACGCTGTTTCTCAAGTGTCAGCCGATCTTCGACGAGGAGATACCTCGCGACGCCCGACAAGAGAGAGATGGCTCGGATCTGTTGCTGAAATCGGACGCGTGGACGAAGATCGGCAAGGTCGACGCGCTGAGGGACGCTCTGTTCGACGATTATTTGGAAACGAGGCCACCGTGGGACGTGTCGTTGCCGGAGATCGGCGAGGAATCGCGTGAGATCGCGAGGCTTGGTCGCCTGGTGCTCGGACACGTCGTGCATCGACTTCTCGACGGATTGTACGCCAAACCTTTGGACCGCTCTCAGATTCTGCTGTCGAAATTCAAGAACACGGCGATCGTTGTGGGGATAGGGGACGTTGCGGTTTACGAGCTGATTCGAGCGGTGCTCGATCGATCCGGTGTTCGAACGGTGAGAATGGAGGACGCGATCAATCATTGTCTCGAACGGTATGTTGGAGACTTTCTGACGGATGGTTTTTTTACTGTCAAAGTACGCGTGGCAGAAAAAGAAATAATTTATCAAACAAATTTATTTATTATTACTTATTCGTTGCCAAGTAATTTATGTCGCTGGCATAATCTGCGTTATACAGGGTGGGTCACCGCATAATGCCATCTAGATTTACGTCATTGTTGTCACGCGTAGCGAAAAATGTTTCAGAAGTCGAATGGTTTCGAGAGGGGCATATTCTGATGATACTAGTTTTCTTGTAAGTGTAGGTGGACGTGTAGAGGACAATGTTATTAATATTTTTTTAAATGGAATCATATATTTTTTATTGCATCAGTTGATGCAACTTGATATTCTTTACAAAATTAAATGTTAATCAACCTATTTGTGTTAAAGAATTATTAGTTTAGGAGATATTTTAATTTTAATTTCGTAAAATTATCGTATGAAAGATATGGAAGAAGAAGAATGATATTCTTATATTTATATTAAAAAATCATTAGTTTGGGAGATATTTTAATTTTAATTTCGTAAAATTATCGTATGAAAGATATGGAAGAAGAAGGATAGTATTCTTATATTTAAACTGTTTTTGTCTTTCACACATAGATTTTACAAAATTGAAATTAAAATATCTCCTGAACTAATGATTTTTTTGACACAAATAGGTTAATACTATTTTTGTAAAGAATATCAAGGTGCATCAATTGATGCAATAAAAAATATATGATTCCATTTGAAAAAACGTTAGTGACCTTCGTGTGTCCTCTATAAGAAAACTTCCACCTATAAGAAAACTAGTATCATCAAAATGTGCCCCTCTCCAAACCATTCGACTTCGTCTGAAATATTTTACGCTACGCGCGATAATAATGACGTAAATCCGGATGGAAATATGTGGTGATCCACCCTGTACATCAAACCATAGCAAATAGTCGCGAGTCTCAAGGACTCCATTCGAAATTATCGCAACAAACAGTCTTTAAACCTTGAAAATCTAACCGATCGTTAGATACAGGCAAGAAATGTCCGACGCGCGATACATCGACTCGACTATAATCGCTGCAACGACGGAGGTTCTCCGAGAATTAGAGAATGAGAAGAAACGAGTCTCGTGCTCAGAGAGGTTCGCCAGACTGGATAAACGTCTTGACGAGTCAGCCTCCGTACCGGAAATGACGGAAGGGAAAAGTGAGGTTAGAGAAAAGTCGGTCGCTCCGACCAAGACAAGGGAGGAAGAGTCGAACAATCGCGACAAACAGACGCAAACTCCGAGGAACATACCGTACGACGATTTGGATCCTGTGTTGACCGACACTGCGTGTATTGGTAGGTTTTTTTCTTTTTGTAAAAAGAGCTGTGTAGTAGGACGAGATTAGAACGAGCGATTAAACAACTGTTGAGTGGTATTAATGATGTATAATTGGGACTAACAGTACTGTGTGTAAATTTATCATTTACTGGAAAAGAAGATAGTTTGTCCCATGATAGATGAATTCGATTTGATGCAAGTACTCTGCCTTGACTTTAAACTTCAAGGTCAAAAATTTTTCTTTGCGCTGTATTCTACTCGTCACGAAGGTAAAACTTCTCCATGGAACACAATAGTTCTCTTGAAAAATGGCAAAAACAGTTTCTTAATTATTTAACATTGCGTAAGCGTGCGTTCTGATAGCGACTTTATGAGCCTGAACGATATCTATACTACGTAACAATATTTCGAATAATGTTAACAGTTTAGTTTTATCATTTGATTATTTAGACTCACACTGATGCTACAGCTATGATAAATCAAACTTTGAGGAAATCTCTAATACGATAATTATGTGAAATGGACATCCATGCGTCCAGAAACATAAAGTCGCTGTTAGCACGCACGCGTCTGCAGTGATAAACGATTAAGATACATTTTTGTCATTTTCCAAGAGGACTATTAGGTTCCTTGGAAAAGTTTTACCATCGTGATAAATGTAGAATACAATGCGACAGAAAGAAAAAAACAATTTTGACTTTGAATTTCAAGGTCAAGGTCAATTTTACGACAGGTTCTTTAAATGCATTTCCACACATCGAATCTTTCCACTGTGTACAGTGAAGAATATAATCAACGAGAATGAAAAGTGTCGATGAACGATACAAGTTCGTAAAAAGAAGATGATATTATTGACAGTATTTCATTGTCATTGGTATAGATTATACTCTTCACTGTATGTCGTCTCTAGAGTTCTTCAGATTCGCGATTAAAAAAAGATTCGATTCTCGCGTACACGCAGGTAAATGGGCCTACGAGTTTCTAACGTTGGGCGAGCCGATCACGGACGATCTCGCGACTAATATTTTGATCGAGTACTTGAAGAGCCTGGTGAACGCGAAAAGTTGGGTTCTGATTGATTATCCGAACACTTACGAGCAAATGTCGCGGCTGGAGACAGCATTGACGGGTTCCACTCCACCACCCGAGTCAAAGGAGCGCGAGTTGGATGACATTGCCATGGAGGATATCGAAACTTTGAAACCGAGAATCGTGTACGAGGACAAGTCCGATCCGTTCGCGTTAAACAGGTAATTACCTAATCGCCAGTGGCGAATTAAAAATCCCACAAAAGTGATTCACAGGAACTTTATTCAAAATCAGATTTTCTATTTTCTGCGGACAGTCAGTCGATCGAGCAGATCTGAAACAAACACACGTTTCATTTGAAATAGTTTTCAGAAACAAATTCACGTGCAACTCGCACTTCAAAGTTTTATCTATTCGTTTGTATTCATTTATATCCATGTTTTCATGTTCGTTCATTTAACTGGGAGGAGCTCATTAAAGAAAAAAAATGATAACAATAAAGCAAAACAGTACAAAGCAAACAAATTGTAAAAGCAGGGAATGTTAAGATCAATCAGGAAGTATGGAGGAAGATTTGACTCGGGTGGGACAGCATTTCTGAGAACGTTTGTCTACTGAAAACTATTTCGTTGCCTACAGGTGTCTAACTAGCGACGCACGGATTTTTATCCCCACTTTCCTGATCGCTAGCGCTAACACCTCCACTAAGGAAATTTCAATGTAGTGGGGAGATCGATGCAATGGAGGGGATAGTACTAGATCAGGAAAGTGGGGATAAGGACCCGCGAGCCGCCAGTTAGCCGACTTTTTGGTGGCCAAACTTTTATACCCTGCGTACTAATTTTTTCTCAACTGAGTTTCGACGCACTGCTAAATTATTTTAACGACAAAAACGTGTAAACATTTTATTATTATTTATTTTTATTAAAATAAATAGTACTAAATAGTCAGCAATAAATAGTAGTTTACCATTTATTTTTATTATAAATAAATAGTAAAAGTATAAAAGGGACATTAGAAAAAGACAAAATAACTTAAAAAATAATAATAATGTCTCTAATAAATAATAATAATGTCTTACTCTAATACTTACTCTCGCTTTAAATAACCTGGCCAAACTTTTATACCCTGCGTGCCAATTTTTTCTCAACTGAGTTTCGACGCACTGCTAAATTATTTTAACGACAAAAACGTGTAAACATTTTATTATTATTCATTATTATTTATTTTTATTAAAATAAATTGTACTGAATAGTAAATAATAAATAGTAGTTTACCATTTATTTCTATTAAAATAAATAGTAAACGTATAAAAGAGAAAAAGACAAAATAACTTAAAAAGCAATAATAATATCTCTAATAAATAATAATAATATCTTACTCTAATACTTGCTCTCGCTCTAAATAACTTGGCCAAACTTTTATACCCTGCGTGCCAATTTTCTCTCAACTGAGTTTCGACGCACTGCTAAATTATTTTAACGACAAAAACGTGTAAACATTTTATTATTATTTATTTTTATTAAAGTAAATTATTTATCATTAAATCATTTATTTTTATTAAAATAAACAGTACTGAATAGTAGTTTACTATTTATTTCTATTATAAATAAATAGTAAAAGTATAAAAGGGACATTAGAAAAAGACAAAATAACTTAAAAAATAATAATAATATCTTACTCTAATACTTACTCTCGCTCTAAATAGCTTGCTCCATGAGTCTACGAGTCGCTACTCGAGAATCAACTCCAAAACCATCTCGATTATTTACAGACAGTCGAGACTAGTACCGGAGCCGATCGCGAGACAGCGTGACGTCGACATCGTGAGACGCACGTTCGCCGGGCTCTTCGTTCGAGTGAAACAACAACCGAAATACCTCGAGACAGAGGATCGAGCTTACGAACTCTTGAAGGAGGACGCGCCGTCGATCGACAGGTTCTACGCGTCTCTCAGGATCGCTCGCGTTTTCTATTACACCAGCTTCGATTCAGCGACGTTGAAGAAGCTAGTCAGACTCGTGATGGGCGATCTTCTGGAGAGGAGACCGTCCGAGGAGTTGTTCGGGGACGCGCTGAGTCCGCTCGAGCGAGACGCGAAACGCGGCGTGGCCTCGCCGAAGGCAGCTGTTGTTCGACAGCTGGTAATCGAGGTGATCGACGACGACGTTTACACGACGGAGGAGGAACCGAAAGACCTCGCGTTCGACAACTCTCAGGTGGAATTAGAACAAGCTAGACCCGGCGAACCTAACTGGCGATGGATCGACTTCCCTTTGCCTCCTGTGTTGTTAGGTCTGCGCAGATGAAATTGAATTTTGACTCGAAAAAGCAGCGGACAACTCGTACAGTCGCGTAATTTCGCAAGTGACTGTAGCTAAAAATATTTGTTTATTTATTTTCTTTTTTTTCTATACCACAAACTTACTCTCAAAAGTTTCGAAACAATGTTACAGCTGACAATTTTATGAAGGAATCTCTCAAAGATGGCTGAACTTTCGTAAATCGCGCAATCGATCAACTGATGGCGCTAAATTTTAGATTAATACGTCGACTGCAAATCTCGAACTAGCATGAATCAACGACGCACTTCTCGAAAGAATATCGAAAAGTTGGCAAAATACAAGCGAAATGTTGTTTTTAGCGATCGCTTGGATCAATCGCGAGAGTCACAATTGTACAGGGTGGGCCAAAAGTCACTTCCTATCGCTCCTAAAAAAATAAATCCGTAATTTTTTTATTATCTATTTTTTTCAATTTGACAGAAATTTTTCTTACTTGAAAGAAATAATTTTTAAAACTATTTCTTTCAATAGTGAAGAAAATCACGTTCGAACTTAAACGTAATTTAAAGTTAATAAAACTGGTTTTCTCTTATATTTATAATTAATAAAATCAGTTTCTTCACATATTATATTAATAAATTTCTTCTCATTTATAACGAATAAAATTAGTTTCTTCTCATATCATATTAATAAATTTCTTCTCATTTACAATTAATAAAATTAATTTCTTCTCATTTATAATGAATAAAATTAGTTTCTTCTCATATTATATTAATAAATTTCTTCTCATTTATAACGAATAAAATTAATTTCTTCTCATATTATATTAATAAATTTCTTCTCATTCACAATTAATAAAATTACTTTCTTCTCATATTTCGATTAATAAAATTCGTTTTTCCCTACATTTCGACGTTTTATATAAAAAAAAAAAAAAGTGGGGAGAAACTTTTGGCCCATCCCGTATACTTGTGTAGCTGTAAAAATTACACTTGACGCGCGTCGATTTAACAAACAGAGAACTTGGCGAGACACTGGGAGAGCCTGGAAGAGACGTACGTGGAGGAACTGAAGCAACTGCTCTTCATCAAGAGCGTTCACTCGTCGAGCGTCGCGCCGTACGCAGATTTCGTGAAGAGGAACGCGCTGGACTTCGTCAGACGACCGGACAGCAAGCAGGATCTGTTGCACCGATTTCAGCGAGCGTTCAACGCGATCGACGAGGACGCTCGTCACGATGCGGACGTCAAGTGCGAGCTGCACCGTCGCGTGGCCGACTTTCAAACGGAGCTGTGGGAGATGTGCGATCGGAGGAGACGCGAGGCCGAGGACGTGCGGAAGCGGCACGTCGACGATCACTGGACAGTCCACGAGGCGGTGGTCTTATTCGACATGTACGTCGGTATCGTTCAGGCGGAGATCGATCGGTGCGTCGACGCGACGCGTCTGCTGCAAGACTATTATCTGGGAATGGCGAAGAGGCCGCTGCGTGAAACCGGCGTCTCGAAAGTTGTGCTGAACAGGATCGAGATCGAGACGGAGGACAACGAACGGCTGAGTTTGAATCGTTCTTCAAAACCCGCGGATAGATCGATCGAGCGGAAGAGAGGCGAACGAGTCGGAACCAAGATAGATAGATCATCGGCGATCGTAACGTTCGCCACGCCTCCGGCTGCCACCGATCGCGAGTCCCTTCGAAAGGAGATCGACGACCTGATGATCGACAGACAGAAAATCGTCGAGGACGTGGCGAACGTTGGCCTGTTCCGAGGGATATTAGAGAACGTTCGATACGCGAGAGGCATCGTGGACGCGTCGCTGGCGGCTAGCATCGACTCGATGAAAAAGGAGCAGGCTAGAGACTCCTCCGTCAACTCTGCCGATTCGATCGCCGCGAGGGGGCAAGATTTGGCGTTGGAATGGCGGTACGCCGTAAGCTACGAGATTGAAAGGGCTCGTCGGAAATTGGACTCGATAGAGAACGTGGCTCGACTGGACATTGGTTTCTTATTGAGGACGTTGCAGAGGGCTTTCCACGGGATTTACGATGCCATTGTGGACAGGTTGTACAAATTTTTGCTCTTTAACACGTTGATCGTCGGTAACTCGCATCTTGACGTATCGTAGAATTTTTCTGGTGTTTCTACGCGCGAAATGATATGTAATATGTATGATAAAATAATATATTATATATATAATAAAATAATATATTATATATATAATAATATATAAGCACTAATATAACTGTATAAATTTTTGCTCTTTAATACGTTGATCATCGGTAACTCGCATCTTGATGTATTGTAGAATTTTTCTGGTGTTCCTACGCGCGGAATAATATGTATGATAAAATAATATATAATATATATATATATAATAAAATATTATATATATAATAATATATAAGCACTATAACTATATAACTGTATAAATTTTTGCTCTTTAACACGTTGATCATCGGTAACTCGCATCTTGACGTATCGTAGAATTTTTCTGGTGTTCCTACACGCGGAATAATATATATAATATATAATATATATGATAAAATAATATATTATATATATAATAATATATAAGCACTAATACAACCGTATAAATAAGTTTGAACCAAAATAATTGGTAATTGATTAATTACATAATTAAAGGAAGGAAAAGTACAATTAACCTCTTAGCTATGGCCCCGCTTTTAGAAGTGTGTATCTATTATCGATTATACTTGTCAAATTCAGAGTATGTGCAGCTGCTGTAAAATTGAATTAAACTACAAGGAAATAACACTAGTTCTTTTTTTTTCTTTTTTTTTTTTTTGGAAAATCAATAATCTTATAGTTTAATTCGATTAACACGGATTTGACGCGTCAAATTGAATACCATTATTTGTTACTGATGACGCCATTAGGTGCCATTTTACCTCAGTCACAATTAAGATTTTACACATTTGTTGTTGTGACTTTAAAATTTTAAAAATTACGGCATTAACAAAATGGAATATAAACTCGGAAACAACATTTACGGAAGATGTAGATACTAACAGTGATATTGGCACTAATAGTGACGATATTGACGAGGACCAATATTTTAGGAGAAAATAATTTTTTGAAAAAATTAGCATGTACATTTTCTTTCTGTCTCAGCGATAGGAAATCAATATTATGACCACCATCGATAAGATGTTAATATTAAGTTAAATCTTGCACACAAACGACCATAGCCAGAAGATATTTTGAAACGATGTAAAAAGAACTAGTCAAGGTCGTAACTATGGTCGCACACAGGCGATGTAAAAAGAACTAGCGAAGCCTAATCTCGAAATATTCCAAAGTTACAAATATGTTTCACTTCCCATAAATTTTAACTAACACTTTAAGGTCGTTACACAAAAAATTGCCATTTGTTCGTAGTATATATACATATATCTATACTATATATATATATATATATATATATATATATATATATATATATATATATATATATTCTACAAAGAAATGACACTTTTTTGT